AGGCAACCCAGTTGTGTTCCTCTGCGGCCAGATTAAACCTTGTTGTAGGCTATGTATTATGCTCTATTCATAATTTTTTAGAAACCTTGCACTTTTCTACTCCGTTTTGTGTTCTTGTATTCAAATTAAGCGCAGTCCACTGCAGCGCACGTGCCACGATATCGATACAGGGCCAGCTGTATCGATACTTGTATCGTCAGATCTCTGTGACGATACATCGTCGTATCGATGTATCGGACACAGCACTAATATATATATATATATATAAACATATTTAAAATCAGTTCATCAGCAAATCAACTATACACCTAAACAAAAGTAATCAGTATAATAATTGAAACATAATATTAGTTCACACCTAATTTTTTCAGCTGTTTACATCAGCATGAGCATGAGAAGCAGCAGCTTGCTTGCCTTAGCAAAAACCATGAATTAGCCTGCAAGGTCCATTAATTTTCCATAGTGCTTACATAGTACACAAATAATAGCTTGGTTCATTAACAATGAACACTACAGGCCACTACACTAGCTTTTGTTCAGCCGAAAGAAATGTCATAAAACAGAGCTAGTTGTGGTTTAAGAGGAGCAATCGTTCAAGGATTTGTATCATTGTTCGGCCCCCTGCACTAGTGATTATGTTGTCATCTCATAAACAGCTGATTATTTCTGATATTATTATTACCAAAGCCCACATTGGAGTGGTGAGACTTTCTAAGGATGATATTAGTATGCATTTATTTAAATTCTGGATGTCTTCCAAACAAGAGGGCCCAGAATGCTCCAAACCATGTTGTTCATAAGCAAAGTGGGAGATTAAAACAAACAACATTTCGGATTTCAGCTTGCCTTTTGAGCAGCCTACAGCAAAGCCTAAATCAAATCACATCCCACAGAAATGCCTAATACTAGCCGGCCACCAATTACCACACAGTCCTAATTGATTCAAATGACCCCAGCGGCAGAGTCAACCCCTACCTCGAATGTTTCATGCCAAAACACTGAAATCAGAATACATTTACAGCCCTTTCACGATTACACAGCTCTACCTTTTTGGAAAATTCTTGATAAAGGATATCAGCCAACAATCTGCCAGCGAATAACTGTTCATTGCCAGGAATGTACTGTAACTGTTGTGTAATATTGCAGTCGCTCTCATTACACAGGTGAGAACAGCAGAGTTAACTCTGTACAGCCTGACACATGAAATAGTGGTCAGAAATGTATTTATTGATTGATTGATTGCACCTTTACACACCCACAATAAATAAATAAAAATTATACATCAGGCTTTTATTACCCATATTGTGAGAATATGTAGTTCAGTGTTTCCCATTCATTAACTAGACTAGCGGCCCGCCACAGTTTCATAATAAAGCATGTTTTCCGCGTCTCAGAGCGGCTCCGTTCACAGTGAATGCAGTGAACTCAGTTATTGAATGTGCTGTGAGTTTAGTGCGTTTGGGAACGCAACGGCCACCACCAGTTATGCATAATTTGCACATTTGCATAATTTTCAACATTTTAATAGGCAAATGTTTACAGTATTTCATTAAATTAGTAATGTTTGTAAAACCTGTTTTCACAGAAGCTGGAGTTTTCCGCCAAAATAAAAGTTTAACTGAAGTTTCTGCCAAAATAAAAGCTCAAGGGTTTATCTCTTGCAAGCATGGCCTAAAATTAACAGACACGCACAGAGAAAATACTGTACAGGTACAGCAAGCTCACTGTTCGGAAGAAAAATATAAACATTGGGGTTGGGGTTTATATGAATGTATTTCTGAAGGGAACGAAGTACATTCACCAGGTTTTTTCTTTTACTTTGCAAACTGAACCTGTGTTGGAGCTCTTAATTTTGAACTCTCAAAGTGAACCAGATTTATGAATTTAACTTTAAAAAGTTGTTTCAGTCCAGCAAATCCTCATCTTAAAATACTACTAACAATATAAACGTTCTTACGTTTACTTAATAAAAAACATTAAAGACTTTACAGCAAAAAGACACGTGTAACGCAACCTGAAGATTTTTAGAATTATACTAAATGGCCTTTTACTTTTGAAAAACGTATCAATCAGAGGGAAGAAAGGTATGCAAAATATTGTGTACAACTGGTTTTTCAGCAAAGTTGTGATCATGTTGATAATTTAGAGGCCTCGCATGTGTCAAATATGGTACAGTCGGCTTTGTAGGGTAAAAGCACTCAAATTGTTCTCTGTTTTACATCAATAGACCAAAGGGATGGTTATGTCTTGCATATTAACATCACATTCTTATCACAAATTACAAGACAACCCTGACAAATCAACACATAATCATTTGGCCAGCAGTTACAGGCCTGGTTACATTTCAGGTTGTGTAACATGATTACAGTACACTAAGCTGAAGGAACATATTCCACACCTTACACATACCAGCGTGAAGAAAGATATATTGATCAGGCTACAGCACTAGGCTTAAGGGAACTGAACCTGATCTTCTGAACTCTTACTTGCTTCTGCAATTGGGCATGAAAAGGACTGGTGAGGAATTAAACCTCTATGTCAAGACTTTAAAGCTCCCAAGAAACTATCAAGCCTTTTGAAATCCAGGAAGCCTTTTAATGTTCATCATGCTATTGGACTAACTAAAGGAAACCTGCAAACACAGACAAGCAGCAACGGATCAGTAATGTGATCACAGCCTTTAATACTGAGCGCATCAAACCACAGCAACCAAGATACACACTCTCGTCAGAAGCAAGCATGCAAAACCACATCCAGCTTCTTGATGTGATGCAATTAACCAAGCTTATTCTATAAACCAGAGTAGTTCAAGTCCACCATCGTGAAACATTCTCCTAGCATCAATGCTAACAAAACCACATGTGGAAAGAGAGAAAAGCATCCATGTCTGATGATGATCATGGACACATCATGTGAAAGCAGACCTGATATGCCCATGCATGTCAGGCCTGACCTGGCCCATAAGCTCCTCATGAGCTCCATACATCCCATAGAGAGGAAGAGGATATAAATAATGGCTAACTGGCGTTCCTAACGCAGACCATGGTGATCAGATACACTGGAACAAGGCCAATCCAGCATCATGTGCCCCAAACAGAGCATGAATACAGCTGTCAAATCACATTAATGGATGTTGTTTAACGCACGTTTATTGTGTCTTAACCAGATGCTAACCGGCTAACCGTGTTAGCATTCTAACGCACTATCACACAAAAGCTTTGACTTACCGCTCGCTTCGGCGAACATTAAAACCACTTGAAACTCATAAATGTTCCGGCGGCTGTGGATCCGAGGACGGCAGAGGTACGGTCCGGCTGAGTGTGAGTCCAGCCCTGCGTGTGGGTGTGTGTGTGTGTGTATGTATGAGGTTAGTACTGATCAGTGTGTGGAAGTGCGACTCTCAGCGCTTCTCACTC